AATGTATCAAACATTATTTAAAAAACTATTGTTTGCTTCACGTTAAGAACTTCAAAAAATTGACAAATATTGGAGAATGGAGGGGAAAAAAAGATAGTATGTTGTAGGGTTTTTACTTAGGGGTAATTTCAGAATTAAAAAAAATTATAAGGGATAAGAATGTAATATTCTTGATCAAAGCAATATAACTTTTAAGCCATTTTCCAACTTATTGGTTTTGATTTTTTTAAAGCAAATTTTAACTTTTTTTAAGCCCATTTTTTTGTTGCCAAACATTTTCACAAATTAAAAATTGCTTAAAAGCTGGTTTGACAAGCTTTTAAGCCCATCCAAACTCATATCTGTTGTCTACTATTAAGGCAACTAGCAACGGCATTTCTTATTTTTATTAAGACTCCAATTTATTGTTTGTTTTTTCCTCTAATTTACTGTACAATAATTCTACTCTTAATTTGACTTGTTTTGTTTAATGAAATCGTGATACCCATCACAAATAACGCACACAAAAGAAGACTTGAGATAAATAGGAACGTGGTAGTGTTACATATGCGACCTTGTTAGATTTAGACTTTTAACTCTAGAATACGATATATTCCAACAAAAAAAATGGAAAAATACAAATGCATTCGATATGATGGATTTTCATAAAAGAACAGTTTTTGAACAAATATTTTCATTTTTATCTTTTTTTATTTTGAGTATTAAAAAGTGATAATATATCTAAATGTTAGTTGGAGTAATGAAATTAAAAGCTAAGATATACAACAATAATAAATTCAGTATAATCCAACAAGTGGGGTCAGAGAAGGGTAGTGTGTACGCAGACCTTATTCTTACTGTAAGAAGGTAGAGATGATGTTTTCGATAGACTCTCGGCTCAAGGAAAGTTGAAAAGAAAGAAGCAGTAGCAACAGACAGTAATGTCCGCAAGATAACAAGAAAACTGAAACGAAAGAAACCGCAGGTAGTAATATAAATCTAAAAATAAGAAAGTACAACTAACACTAATACTACTAGTATGGACAAGAAAAACACACGATTATCCACTAACCTTCTACCTTAATTCTCGACCTTTACACTCTCCTATCAAGGATCATGTCCTCAATAAGCTGAAGCAACGTCAAGTCCTGCCTAATCACCTCTCCCGAATATCTTTGGCCTACCTCTAGCTCTCCTCAGACCCACCAAGGCCAACCTCTCACATCTCCTTATTGGGGCATTAGTGTCTCTCCTCTTCACATGCTTGAACTATCTAAGCATCGGTTCTCGCATCTTGTCCTCTACGGGAGCCACGCCCACCTTATCCGGAATATCTTCATTCATAATCTTATCTATCTTGGTATGCTTGTACATCCATCTCAATATCCTTATTTATGTCGCCTTCATCTTCTGGACATGGAGATTCTTAACTGACCAACACTTTGTCCCATATAACATAATCGGTCTAACTACCGTTTTATAAAACTTACCTTTAAGTTTTTATGGCACGTTCTTATCACACAGAATTCATGGTGCGAGACTCTATTTCATCCACCGCGCTCTAGTATGATGTGTGACATCCTTGTCAATCTATCCATTTTCTTGGATTACTGACCCAAAGTACTTGATATTTCCTCTCTTGGTGACTTGTGTATCAAGTTTCACGTCCACATCCGCTTCATGAGCCACATCACTGAACTTGCACTTCAAGTATTCTGTTTTGGTCCTGTTCAACTTGAAACCTTTAGACCCCAGGGTCTGTCTCCCAACCTCTAACCCCGCGTTAACACAACCTCATAAGCTAAGATATGTTTAAGGAAAATAATCTTTCCTCTATAAATGAGAAAATTTTCTCTTCTTGATAACAATCATCAAAAGTTGACTTTCTCATGAAAAATATTTTTTTAAAATAACTTCGATAAGCATGACAAAGTAAATATTTTTGTCGAATTTTATTAAGATTAAGATGTTGAATCTGAATACACACTAGAATATTAAGATATTATCCCTAAAAACCGAATGCTAAATTGTTGGGTTCAACTAGCCTATAGATACGTTTCACGAAGTATGATATTATCTGCGTTAATCCAAGCCCGCAAGATTCTTCTCAAAAGTCCTCAACTATTAAGAGTATCTCTACACCTTATATGTAACATCCTAATCTTTTTTTCTTCGGATATGAGACTTTATTTGCACACCAACAATCTTCAGCTCAAATTAAGTTTCATGTGCCCATTACCATGATCAACTGGTCAATTTTCAAGATTCAAACATCATTAGAGTATTTATGGAAACCAAAGCCGCAACTAGATTCTTCTTGTCTATGTGTGTCTCTAAGCTCTATACCCTCGCTCTGCCATCATATTAGTTGTTATTGGGTTCAACCAATTCAAAGATACTCTTATTATAGTGTGATATTTTTCGTTTGGGCGAAGTTCATATAATTTTTTTTCAAAAGGTTTCACACCATTAAGAGGTCTCACACCTTATATATAGTCGATCTTTTTAACTACTAGTGTGAGACTTTGTTCGCACGTCCAACAATCTCCCTTTGAACTAAGTTCGACATGGCTAATCACTACGATCTCCGGATCAATCCTTTGAAGTAAGTTTCACGTGGCCCATTACCACGATTCACGGGTCAATTTTCGGATTCATTCTGTGCCACCCATATCGTCAGAATATTTATGACAATCAAAACTTGTAACTAGCTTCTTCATGCTTATGTGTGCATCTAAACTCGTAAGGGGAAGTAACTGAACCACACGCCATCACTTTGTCATCGTCATACTCGTCCTGCAGAACCTAAACTCTAATATCGGTTGTTGACTTCAATCTGCATAAAAAGGCTCTTAACATGGTGTGATGTTGTTCATTTTGGACCAAGTACGCACGGTTTCCCCCTAAAAGCCTTTATCATTAAGAGATCTCACAATCTTATGTATAGTCTTTCAATCTTTTTAGCTACCAATATGAGACTTTATTTGCACATCCAACGTGAATAATTAAGACTCTTTATCTTCTCAACATTTAAATATGTATAATTTATCTTTATTTAAAATTTATAAATAATAATTTAAACATACGATAATAATTAAGTATTATATAAAAATATAGATAAAATTTCAAAATATATACGGTACCATAAAAATTATTTGTTTGTTGAAGCATGCTATAAAAGCTAGTGGCGGTAGCATTGTAGTGGTGGACGTCGCCTATGACGGTTGTGAGGTGGTGGCTAGTGATGATTGTAGTAAGGAGTGACAAACATGCGGGTCGGGTTGGATATGATTCGGATAAAAAACGGGTAATGAAAAAATGGGTAAATTATCCGACCCGACCCATAATTAATATGGATAAAAAACGGGTTAACCGACGGATAATATGGGTAATCATATTATCCATGACTTCTTGAATATGAACACTTTTGGGAGAATTTCTAGTCTCCCAAACTTGAGGAACCCCCAATTTAAGGCTTTACAAATGTAAAAGTTAAACTCAGTAGTTATCCATTGGTTACTCGTTGGTTATCCATTTTCTAAATGGATAATATGGTTCTTATCCATATTTGACCCAATTTTAAAAGGTTCATTATCCAACCCATTTTTTAATGAATAATATGGGTGGTTAACTGTTTTCTTTTAACTATTTTGTTACCCCTAATTGTAGTTGATGGTTGGTAGAGGTGACTGGAATTGGTGGTTCTATAGTGATGGTTGTACGGTGCATGGTGGCTTGCAATAGAGTTATTGGTAGTGATTGGCTATGGAGCCTTGCAGTGGTTGGTTGATGTGTCGGTTGGTGTTGCAATGTGACGAGTTTGCCTTCATTCTTAATCAGAGATTTCAGATTTGAGTTTTGAGAATGAAGAAATCTCTGGCATGGAATATTTATTTTTTTAATGACGTCTACACAATGCGAATGTGGATTAGTCGGATCAACGAATTCTGGATAACAAATGACTATACCCCCAAAAAAAATAAAAAAAAATAAAAGCCACCTTAAAATGTCTAGTCAAACTTAAAGATGTTCAAAGTCAACTTTAAATAATGTTTTGAACATCTCAACAATATTCTGGCAGCTGAGAATCAAAACTCTTTATGCCATATCTAAATACTACACTACTAGGGACTATCAGCTCTATAAAAAAGAAAACTAATGATTTCAACTACTATTATTCCAAGTTTACAAATTACACCTTACTCTACAAATTTCTTGGTTCTTTTTTTTCCACTTTTTCAATGGGAAGATATAGGGACAAGTAAAAAGTGACTTCTCTTTATTAAATGGGGATTTTATTTTGTAAATCTGCAAAGCTTGCTCATGCTTCTTCAAGCCAGTTCTTTGGTAGAATCCTCTATCTTCTTCCAATTTATCTCTGCGCTCTTTTTGAATAAAATTTATAAAGAATTTGAACTGCATTGTGATTTCTTAAACATCCTTTTTTTTCTTCTCTATTTATTTATGAAATTTCAGGTTAACTAAAAATAAATCTGAAGTGTTGAAAAGCTTCTTAAAACTACCACTTTGATCTGGCGAATAGAAACACATTGTTTGCTACGAGTTTTACTCTTATCAAAGATTTATATGCCACTAGAAAATGTAAAAAATTATAGTGCTGGAGAAACTATTTTTCTTTTTATTTATATGAACCGAGACGAGCTTAAATGGAGTAACATGACCACTGAGGATTCATATAGCCGATTAAAATATGATTGTGTTGTAGTAAATAAAAACATAATCATGTATAAGGTTCATAATATGATTAAAGCATGTATGTTATTGTCATGGCTCATTTCTTCCTTCTGTTGAATGCAATATAGTTGTTCAATTCTAATGAGCAGCCTGGTATACCAAGCTCCCGATATGCTCGGGGTCCGGGGAAGGGCCAAGCCACAAGGGTCTATCGTATGGAACCTTACCTTGCATTTCTGGAAGAGGCTATTTCCACAGCTCGAACCCGTGACCTCCTTCTCACATGGCAGCAACTTTACCAGTTACGCCGAGGCTCCCCTTATTCTATATGTCAAATTCTATTTCCAAGCTGATTACATCTTTGCAATACTTATTTTCAGATCCTAAAACTGGCCCTGGCAATAAGAAAATGGAACCTGTCCATTCTCATAAACAGGCATTCTATGACAATTCTAGCAAAAGTAATTCATGTGTTCACAGCAACCTCAAGTCTTTTACCTTCAATGACCTCAAGAATGCCACTAGGAACTTCCGAGCTGATAGTCTTCTTGGCGAGGGAGGTTTCGGATACGTCTTCAAAGGATGGATCGATGAGAATACGTTTGCTCCCTGTAAGCCAGGAAGTGGAATGGTGGTAGCTGTCAAGAAACTTAAGCCTGAAAGTTTCCAAGGGCACAGAGAATGGCTTGTATGTCATCAAGAAACTACAGAATTAGAACGGCTCAGGTCCAACTGCCAAGGTATTGCCCGCTTTGACCCAAACTTTGGAGCCTCATGATTTTGTTCATGTGGGCATTAACCCCTAAATGCGTTTCGATAGTTGAATTCCTGAGCCCGCCTTATATGGCCCCTAAAGTTTTCCTCCTATTTCGATATGGGATTTGTCTAAGGCAAGCTTCACAACAAACCTCCTTTCAAAGTCAACCGCCAGCGGTCTGTGGACAGTTACACTCACCACTTAGGAACCCAGCGTCCTCTCTGAGGTTTGCCAAGATAAGGCGAGTTCATTAGTCCAGGGCTCCAGGCGCCTTATGCGTTAAAGCTAAGTGAACAAAATTGTGAGGTCCCGAAGGTTTGGCCACAGTGGACAATACCTTGACAGTCAGGCCTGAGCCATTACGAGAATTTTTCTATAAAACCTTTTGTAGCACATGCCTTTTGTGATTTAACTTTGTTTTCCACATATCTTACCTGCAGGCAGAGGTTAACTACTTAGGACAGCTTCACCATGAAAATCTAGTGAGGTTAATTGGATATTGCTCAGAGCTTGATAACATGCTTCTTGTTTATGAGGTCATGACAAAAGGAAGTTTGGAAAATCATTTATTTAAAAGTGAGTCAATCTCTTCACAGAATTGTTTCCAGAAAATATTTCTCCATATTTCCTATCATTTCACATGGACCTTCATTTTTGTATGCTTAGTAATCGATAGAAGCAGAGGCGGCTTTGTCCCCTGCTTAAAGTTCACTGGTACACCACTTAGTATACTATATGTAAAGTTATAGTGAGGGGTCACCGGACCCTGTAAGCTTCGGTAGAAATCTTGTATACTGTAATATGGCCAAATTTTCATGACATTTGCCATGACATAATATTCATTATAACAAATTTGTGGATCATGACATTTGCCATGACATAATATTCATTATAACAAATTTGTGATTCATGACATTTGTCATGACATAATATCCATTATAACAAATTTGTGGATCATGACATTTGCCATGACATAATATCCATTATTAGGCCAAGGATTTCTTGCTATAAATAGAGGAGTTTCTATTCATTTGAAAATACACAAATTCAAGAGCTTTTCACTCTTATCTTTCTTTCTCCTTTATTTCATTATAGAGTATTTTGTAAGAGAGTGAGTGTTGGGAAACACTTGTGTGAATCCTTTCTTTG